TTTTTTCAAGAGGAATTTACAGTTTTCCGTTGCGACACTTATTTAGGAACACCCTGTATATCAAATAATAGTAATTTTTCCCATTTTTAAGGCAAACTTTCCAATCTTTTTGGCGGACAAGTATATTATTGTGACATACATTTCAATTATTACAGAAAAAAATCAAAACCAGATTGCTGGTTATCACCAACCATGTTGCCGTTAAATCGACATCTTCGGGGCGTCGGACTGCAAAAACTTCTCAAGAATTTTGTCAGACAATAAGATACTTTCATTTCAAATCTTATTACCAAACCCTCCCAAAAAAATCAGCTTGCTGGTTGTCACCAACCATAATGTCACCAAATCGACATATTTGGGGTGGCGGACAAACTCACAAATACCCAACACTTTTGTCGGACAAATTTTTTGGGGGGTTTAAAAAGAATATATCTTTCATTTAAACTAAAAAGAAAAGTGCTGGTCATAACATTCCATGTCTATGCCAGATTGACATGTTTTCCTGAAAATCACGGGAAAGCTTACCACTGTTGAATTTTCCTAGTAGTCAAATCTTGGGAGACTCGTCAAACTTAAGCTGCACGCAAACTTACAGCTTGCTGGTAATCATTTTTTTCTTTGTACGTGCGCCCGTGGATTATTCATAAGATGAAATAATTGGAGTTCTTGTAATTATGTAATAGTGAATTACAGGGTGAGTTATTTACTGAGTATCTTAGCATGCTTACTAATTGTTAATTAAGTATTCTGTACTGTTGAAATGAATCATTTGTGGAAATTGGTGGTAATGTTTGCTTAACCAGACGTAGACCTGCCTATTATTGTTTTATTGAGAGTTGTTGTGAGGTATGGAGATATCTTAGGGCTGTTGGCTGCGGTGATACAGTCCGTCTGTTAGCTGCGGTGACACGGGGGATATCTCAGAGGCTATTAACTGCGGTGATACAGTCTGGTTCTGGAATAGGACGCGTCTGGCCATGAGCGGGGTATCCTAGGGCTGTTAGCTGCGGTGATACAGTCTGGCTCCGGTACGAATGGTCTGGCCATGAACTATCTCAGTGCTATTATTTTTCAGCCAATGTTGGTTGTGCAGAGGTAGTTTGGTCGGTTTACATTGTTAGCCTGATGTTTGATAAACAGTTGATTGAATTGGCCATATCAGTAAAAGATGTTTTGAGTAGAGTTAGCTGCAGCAATTTGAGAAAAGTATATCTAAACAGTAGTAATTGATTTAAGTTGTTATGCTTAAGGTGAGGGTATGCTTGGGTACTCCTGTGTGTTTCTTTTATTTTTGGAAAAAGGTCCTGAGCTTAGCTTAAGTACCAGAGGTCGCTCCTGACGACAGCCAGACCCTGATTTGTGAGCATAGTAAGTGTGGTTATTTAAAATTAATTATAAGTATCCTTCAATGGTTCACGCCCGGTATATACGCCCCTAACAGTCGAATGTTTTTTTTTTCTTCAAATGGTTTATTATAGACGTACTCTTTAACCACAACCAAATCTTTCTTGAATGATATCCTGTTGCGAAGCTACTTCGCTTACATGAAATTGTCTTTAATGCACATGCTCAGTAACATTGATATAATTTTAATTTATTAATTACTATAAAAGTCAATATTGTTCTATAAATTTAAATAGGTATATAAATTCTATAATTCTATTAGTTTGTCACTTGCAGTCTGAAACTTCTTAAATATTTCTAATATTGCCAGAGTATCGCGATACTTAAAGTCATGACAAAGAAGTCATTTTTTTGACACATGTCCAAAGTAGGACCGTCGAAACTATGGAGTTGCCTATTTGGCGGCTGTGACGTCACTACTAAAAAAAGTCTATTGCGTAAGGATTTAGATTTAGTTGTAATATATTTTGACATATCGGACATTGATATAGTCCAAAATGCGTATAAGTATTTTAACTAAATCTCACTAATTAGGCCGTGAGAGGCCTATTTACTCATGGACAATGTTATATGGTAGACCGTGACAGTGACAGGTAATGTTATGACAACACTGTTATTATTTGACAGTTTGTATTATCATTTAATTGAAATGCGTTACACAGAAGTAGGAAATTGAAATATTGTAGGAATTAAAATAGAGTAAGTTATTCTCCATACTCTATTTTAATTCCTAATAATATTTCAGTTTTCTACTTCTGTGTAACCATTTTAATTAAATAATGATACAAACTCAATCAATAACAATGTTATCATCACATTACTACCTGTCACTGTCACGACCTACCATAGGACCTTTCGATTTGGCAAAAATAATAGCTATCAGCAGCTACTAGCAACTTAGAGTTACTCTGAACTGATATTAGTTGCTAATATAGTTACTATTTTAGTAAAAACGAAACCCCTCTATATAACATATTGTCCATGAATAATTGGCCTCACACGACCTAATTAGTGAGATTTAATTAAAATACCTATAAGCATTTTGGACCGTATCAATGTCCGATATGTCAAAATATTACAACTAAATCTGTAAATCTTTACCTAATTGGAAAAAAGTCAGAAATGCCTGAAAGAGGTCTAACAATTACAAAATGTCTTATTTCCTTATTAAAAAAACTTCTTTTTGATTTTTAATATTATCTCGCTTATTATTAGAAATGGACCCAACAAATCCTATACTATACTAGACAGGGAACGTTCTATCCAAATATGTAAAAATATACAGGGTGTTCCATTTAAATTAACAATTTGTTTGGACTTCATTTGCTTTTTCTACTATCATTTTCGAAAACTTCATAAAAAATAGTGTGACTTTTGTATTTCACATTTTTATATAACTCTTAAAACAAAAAAGTTAAAGGGGGATCAAATATAGTGTATCACCCTGTACACACAAGAAGTTAAAAAAAAACGAAAAGTTCTTTATATTTCATTTGATGGAAAAAAGTGACTTGTTAAATAAATTTTCATTATTTTCCAAAAATATAGTTTTAAGGTGATCCAACATGTACAGGGTGATTCACTATATCTTGACACCCCCTTTAACTTTTTGTTTTAAGAGTTATAAAAAAATGTTAAATATAGAAGTTGCACGATTTTTTATGAATTTTTCAAAAATGATAGTAGAAAAACAAATGAAGTCCAAACAAATTGGCCGCGGATGATAAAGTAAGTTAAATGGAACACCCTGTATATTTATACATATTTGGATAGAACGTTCCCTGTAGAGCATAGCCATATATAGGGTTTGTTGGGTCCATCTCTAACCATAAGCAAGATACTTTTAAAAACGAAAAGGTTTTTTTTTAAGAAAATAGGACATCTTGTAATTGTTAGACCTCTTTCAGGCATTTCTGCCTTTGTAACGAAATCTCACTAATTAGGCCGTAAGAGGTCTAATTACTCATAGACACTATATGGTAGGTCGTGACAGTGACAGGTAGTAATGTCTTGACAACATTGTTATTGACTGACAGTGTGTATTATTATTTAACTGAAATAGGATACACAGAAGTAGAACACGTACTTATAGCTATTATTGTATTATTAATTAAATTATGATTATATATCAAAAAATGAGCAAGCGGTTTAGGCTATTGGAGGGGATAGAGCTGGCACGTCGTACCTTGATTTGCTAGTGTCGAAATAACTAGCCAGCTCGATATTCGATCACGCAGCGGTTATAATCATATGTTGAGCTTAATAATCAGATTCTAATTTTAATGTCTTTTTAATAATAAATATAATAATTTTAATAAATAAAAAAAGTAATTTAACAAATGTGACTTAAAAGTAAATGTAACTAGAACTTTAATTGCGAATGATATTAGAATTATCAAATTTGATTGAAGTGACACTGGGAATGGATTATAGATTTTTGTATGAATTTAAAAACAAGCAATAATGTATCCAGGAATTTTTTAACTGTATATATTGTCTTAGATTTATATAAAACGGATTTTTTTCATTTTAATTCGTTCAATAAAAAAGATATTGACTAAAATTGACTTTTGGCTATCTTGCCGTACGTATCCCCACTAAACCCCACTCCCATTAGTTCTTCGCAGTCTTCACTCTAATAGCACAATTGTATTGATGATCACATGCTAATTTAATCCTTACGAAATTTAAAACAGAAGCAATCATTTATATATTCTGCAAATTATAATCAAATTATTAAATATCAGTTTGTTTTATTAGCTGCCTAAATAGTTTTTTGTAACTTTCAATGTTGAGACAACCACATGCTAATCAAAACCTTTCCTTTTTTTATTTCTGTACCAGAAATTATAGAGAAATTTTTTTTAATAGAATTTACTTTACTAGAACGGTTTGGCAGTTTGAGCTTATTTAGTAATTTATTTAGTTGTTTAATTAGAGTTAAACAAATTTATTTAATTACTTTGGTAAAATAGTATTAATAACAATAATTGGTCACTAAAATTAGAGAACCCAGGTCGCTGGCAGAATTTCTACGTCCAGCATCTGTATCATCTTTGGCGGTTTATCCAAACCACCCTCAAGGGTAAGACTTTGTGAGAAATATGTATCATTTTAAACCTGTTCCGTTTACTCTCCGTTCTTTCCGATCTGCAGGGAACAAGAAACGTTAAAGGGAATTTTATTTTCCTAATTTTTTGTATAGGTTAGCGATCTAATCATTAACAATCTTTTTTATTTCCTTTGTTTCCCAATTGGTTACATATATGTTGAAATCGATGTTAAAATTGAACGTTCTGCCTCCGCTATAAGAGCTGCCGTCTACCATCTCGTAACGTCTACATTAAAAATACATCAACTTATTTTGATTTCAAGGACAGCTTGCTCAAACTGTGTATCATCTAAAAGTTTATATTACACTCTAGGAATTAAAATTAAAATCGTCATATAGTGTAATATTAATTAATTATATTTTCATAATTTTTAATTACAAGCAGAAAATAGTGAAAATTACAAATATACAGATAGGGTGTAAATTTAAGTGGATGTCAGTTTTTTAGGGGTAATAGTAGGTGTTCCCCTGAATACGAAACTAATTTTTTTTTGTCACAAATAAATAGTCGAGATCTAATTAGGTTTTTTTTAACTGCACTTTATTTCTTGTGTACACCACCACTATCAACGTTACCAGTTTTTAAATCGATCTTCATTGTGGAAAGTGACAATGAAAAATAATTTGGTAAAAGCAGATTACTTTTGTATAAATCACCCACGTGTCATTTTAAAGTCACCAGGAGCAAAGAAGAGGATAGATTATGCCGACTTATAAGTACCTAATAAGAAAATGTTTGTCAGATTGGTTCAATACTGTAGTACATCTTCCCTATAATATTCATCTATTTGTATATTTGTGGATAGGTATGATGTAAAAAAATGTGTGTTGACAACTAACAGTGCACGTCGTTAATGGTGGGAGATAGTGTGGGTTAACGGTGAAGAGAGTTAGTGGTTGCCTAGCTTTTGGAGGCAGTACAATTATTAGAAAAAGGTTAAAAAATGAACTGAACTATTGCTGCCCGTTTCTAAAGTTCAAAGGCAGCCTCCGTATAACTATAACCCCCACTCAAAGTTACACCCTGTATTCACATAACAGTTCCATTTAACCAATCCACCTAATTTTTATAAAATATTGTATTAATGTTTAGTAGCCTGCCGACCCAACATATATTACCACTAGGCGCCACTGACTAAAACAACATACTCCATAACATTGTTCATGTGGCTGAATATTTGCCATAAGCTTCACACTTTAAGAAATAAAGAGTAGTTATAATAGTCCTCTTCATTTGCATCTACGTTTTAACTGACTGTCCAAGCCCATCGTTTAAGAGATACACATGATGGTTTTGATCGTCACTACCTCCAGACGGGAATTGTTTATTGCTGTGAACGTACTGTCCGTGAATGCATTAACTGATGACCTTTGACACTCTTCTTATACTTAGTTATATAATTACAAGCATCTCACAGGTATATTTGAATTTCGGGAGGGTCTTTATGGCTTACCTGATGGAGTTTTAGGTTACCCTTATGTTTGGTTTCAAAACTGCACGTGTCACATTTGTACACTTGGATTTTCAGAGTCTTTGTGCATTAACACATGCTTTTTTACGTTACCTTTAAATTTACTTTCATAAGTACACATATCACATTTGTACATTTGGACTTCTGAAGTATTTCTGTGCTTTAACTGATGTAGTTTTAGGCTATTCTTGTATTTGGATTCATAACTACATATATAACACTTGTACATATGGATTTCCGAAGGGTCTGAGTGCCTTAACTTATGGAGTTTTAGGTCACCCTTGCGTTTGGTTTCAAAATTGCACGTGTCACATTGGTACATTTGGATTTCCGAACAATCTTTGTGTAATAGCTGATGTAATTTTAGAAGTTTCTTTTGTTTAGCTCTATAATTACACATATCGCACATGTACATTTGAACTTCTGAAGGGTTTTTGTGCACTAATATGTGCTTTTTTAGGTTACCTTTATATTTACTTTCATAAGTACACGTATCACATTTGTACATTTGGACTTCTGAAGTATTTCTGTGCTTTAACTGATGTAGTTTTAGACTATTCTTGTATTTGGATTCATAACTACATATATAACACTTGTACATATGGATTTCCGAAGGGTCTGTGTGCCTTAACTGATGGAGTTTTAGGTCACCCTTGTGTTTGGTTTCAAAACTGCACGCGTCACATTTGTACACTTGGATTTTCAAAGGATCTTTGTGCATTAACACGTGCTTTATTAGGTTACCCTTAAATTTAGTTTCATAAGTACACATATCACATTTGTACATTTGGGTTTCTGAAGTATTTCTATGCTTTAACTGATGTAATTTTAGACTATTCTTGTGTTTGGCTTCATAACAACACGTATCACACTTGTACATAAGGATTTCCGAGGGGTCTTTGTGCCTTAACTGATGGAGTTTTAGGTCACCCTTACGTTTACTTTCAAAACTGCATGTGTCACATTTGTATAATGGGATTTCCGAAGGGTCTTTGTGTAATAGTTGATGTGGTTTTAGAAGGTTCTTACATTTAGCTCCGTAATTACACATATCGCACATGTACATTTGGACCTCTGAAGGGTTTTTGTGCATTAACACATGCTTTTTTAGGTTAGCTTAAAATTTAGTTTCATAGATACAGGTATCACATTTGTACATTTGGACTTCTGAAGTATTTTTGTGCGTTAACTGATGTAGTTTTAGGCTATTCTTGTGTTTGGCTTCATAACTACACATATCACACTTGTGCATACGGATTTCCAAAGGGTCTTTGTGCATTAACTGATGTATTCTTAGATAGGTCTTACGTTTGGTTTCATAATCACATACATCACACTTGTACATTTGGATTTCCCTAGGATCCTTGTGTAGTAACTGATGTGCTTTTAGATCACTCTTATGTTTACCTTCATAAGTACATTCATCGCACTTGTACATTTCTATTTCCAAAGGGTCTTTGTGGACGAGTTGATGCCGTTTCACGTAATGTTTATGTTTAGTTTTATAACCGCAAGTATCGCACTTGTACATTTGGATTTTCGTAGGGACTTTGTGCAATAACTGATGCTTTCTTAGAAATCCTTCATGTTTAGTTTCATAATTACAAATATTGCACTCGTACGTTTGGAATACTGAAGAGTCTTCGTGCATTAACTGATACCCGTTTAGACTTTTACATTTAGTTCCTTGAGTACATATATCAGAAACCTTGTGTTCACCCTTATGAGATGATACATCCAATGGAGCTTTACATTTCTCTGCTTGTACTTCCCCCGTCTCACATTTACATATATATCCAATCTTCATTTTTCTCAAATCTTCGGAAGTGCAACTCGTTTTGTTTTCTATTATTCTATTATCCAAGTTGTACGAGGAGGAATCACTGAAAAAATTTAAAAAATAAACAAACAAAATACAAAAATTTCTTTGCCGATAAACATTCTGAGGCATCGATTAGCCATCAGGATTAAGATAAGGTACTTTTCATCTTTTACTTTTATAATTGAAATATTTTCAGTTAAATAGCAAACTAAAACAAAAAAATTGAAAAATGGAGTTTCGGCTATGAAGTCAATTTTTTATTATTTAACAAATTCAGGTTTGAATTCAATATTAATGTTTTTTTAAACTCCAACCTAACAGACAAGACTGCTGTGTCAATGACTTCTGATGTTTAGGGCCTAGTTTAGGTGAATTGTACTACTGTCACTTTACAGATTCCAACGAAGTAAACTGCTGACTTAATCATAAAAGCAGATAGAGACGCATTTAGGAAAGCTAAAACAGGTACTACTAAAAAACCTTTAAATTCTAAACAAAATACAGTATGTTTTTATCTTTTTTCTTATTCAGACATTCCATTAATCGAACGTGTGCTAGATATGAAAAGAATTTATATGAAAAGGTACTTCTGGCATACTTTTTAAAGAAGTTAAAAAGAGGGATGTTAACATTATGGTCCTATTACCCGATGTTTGTCAACATTGCTGGTAAATGACTATTGTGATATTTCAAAGTAATACATCTGATAAGTCCACTCCATCAGATAATGTTTCATAATGTTTTCAGACACATCAAAGTGATTACATTGATAAAGAAATTAACTGATGTTCACAAACCTAAAAATTGAAAAGCTTGGAATCTGATGATGTCATAAGATTTTTAGAAAATACTCCAGACGACAACTATCTGTTTATGAAGGTGAAATTTTTATAAATCTCTTCAATAATTTTAGTAAATTAGATTTTACACTACAGGTTGAGGTTTGGGTTTGTTTATGGCATGTTGATCCAATGAATTATACAAGTTAGGAACTTCTAATGTTCAAAAATTGATCATAATCATCTCACTTATTGACACCAAAACTAAGAAAGCGGTCAGTTTGCGTTACTGACCCAAATGTGGAATGAGTCTTATCAGAGAATACGTCGATTTGCCTCTAAAAGCATGCCCACCAGAAATTCTTTGACAAATGTCGACATAAGAAGTGTACCATTCAATCTGAAAGAATAAATAGTTTGAATAATATTCCTAAGGCAAATGCCGATCTTTTGAAGTTACCGAATTTAGAAATGTATACTGGCCATTGCTTCCACTGTTCTGCAGCTACAATGCTGACAAATTCTGGTGCTGACCTGATAAGCGTATAAAAGGATGGAACTCATCTTCAATAGCTGAAGCTTATACACAAGTCTTAGTAGCGAGAAAGGTTAAAATATTGAAGAAAATACTCAGAGCTGGTAAAAATTCTTGTAGTTGTACATCTGTACGTTTTTTACATGAAAAATGTTATGTCGCAAGAATAGAAATTTCTCTTATAATCACTTGTATATAAGGTGATTCATAAATGGTGACCAAAAAGATTTACTCAAATAAAATCATTAAAATGATCACTAATGTTATTAATTTGTTTATTCCAATAAATGACTGAATGATTAGTGCTTGTCGTGTCATTTAAGTAAAAGTGTTTTCAGTTGGTTTTTTAAGTTTTATTCGAAAATCAGATTTTTTTTGAAAAACATTAGAGAGTGGTAGAAAATTGAAAGACGAATCCGAAAATATCATGGTTGTTACCGTAAAACAGTGGCATTCTATTTTATTTAGCAAAATATTCCACCGATATCCTGTATCTCTGCCACTGACGGACGGTTTGCAACTACTATTTTCTTCACATTATCGAAATTTTCTTCATTTGAAGACGCTAAAAGATGACCAGAACATGGCAAATCATCAACCGCGTCTCGACCATGTTGGAATGCTTTTTTATACCATTTAGTTTTTCATAAAATTAAATTAGCGTATGTCTTTCCCCACATTTTCTGCGATTCAGCACAACAAATTCTGTTGGTAGCATGAAATTTTAGGCAAACTGTTTGTTCGATAACATTATCCATAGTAAAAATTACCAGTTGTAAACAAACTACTTCACAAAGCATGCTCAAACTTCACGTCAGAATCGAGTACAGTTCTACCAACTTTGCATCAAAAATGAAATTTGAATCTACTTTACGCGGAATTTTTAAATGATAAATTCCAGATACTTTTTTGTATAAGAATCAGTGGCGGCTCGTGAAGGAGGACTCTGGGACTCCGCCCCCCCCCCAGATATTTTTAAACTGTAAACTTAAAATAATGTATTTATTTAAATCAATAAAAAATCTAAATAGCATACATTCAATATCTCTTGGATGTTAGGTTGGTTGCATAAAGTGCATGTACTCCGTGAACGTAGCTCAGATTAATGTCTCTGCCATCTATGATCGTACCAAAGAGTTATGTTTGACCGCGCGCGCAATCCCCACTCCATCGCGAACGGTGAAATCTGAGTCCATCGTGCACGCATGTTTTTACATATGATTGGACAAATTGGCACGAGGAGGGGATAGGCGACGATAGGCTCACGCGCTTTGTTTTGGACTCCATGTGGCAGTAACCCGTATCATTGAAGTGTGGTTATACGTGTTTTGTTTTTGCTTTGGCGCTTTTTAAGACATTATATTTTATAAGTTTAAGTTTAAAATGAGGGTTCGTGAAATAAAAAAACTTATTAGTAATTTAAGTTTAGGCAAAAGTCGAATTGAAAAATAACGGACGTCCAACGCCAGTGTTGAATTTAGTTCAGGTGCAGAAAGAGTGCAAAAATAGGCCGGCTTTTATTTGGAAATTTGATAAAAACATTTGTGATAAGACCCTTTGGTTGTGTGGTTGTAATGAAACAAATATATTTTTTTGTTTTGTATGAGGTTTTGTACTGGAGGAGGCGCAGAAAAACTGGAGTTTCCGTCTTGAAATATTTACCAGACAAAATTAAGAAACATGAAAATTCTCCTAAACACAAAAATAAGTTGGTGAGTTTTTTACTTTTCGGAAGAGTAAATATTGTTTCTTGTTTAAGTAGTGCTTATGCAGAACAAATAAATAGTCATAACGAAACAGTTAAGAAAAATCGATTGCTTCTTTAAAAATTTATAGATATTTTAAAACTATGTGGTACACGTAACCTTCCTCTTTGTGGACATAATGCAAAAAGTGACTCGGTAAACAAAGGGGTATTCTTAGAACTGATACGACTATAGTGCAAAAATTGATCCCCTTTTAAATAAACATCTTAGTGATGCCCATGTTTTTAAAGGAACTTCAAAAACTATACAGCATGAACTATTACAGCAATCTACATAATTATATCCCAACTGGGTTGGTTGATCGATTATCCACTTGCACCTACACACTGACAATATTCATTTTGGGGTACTTGCGAAACACAATGACCTTCAAATTCCTCAAAATTTTTCTCCTGCGGCTCTAAGAGGGGGCCTGCCACACCCCGCACCTCTTAACATGTACGTCCTCTTTTTAAAATACGCCCCCCCTGTATTCAAACCCACGGGCCGCCATATAAGAATGTATAACGGTATGAATGTTTTCTTACTTGTCCTGGTCATTTTCCTCCATCTTTATTTCAATCTCCTCAGATTTGATATAATCCGGCATATCGACAAAATCATATTTCTCCTGTACATCCTGATCATCTTCCAGTTTTACTTCAAGCTCCTCGGATTTAATATATGACGGCATATTTGTGCTTTCATATTTTTCCTGTGCAGCAAGGCAATTTTTTAAAAAACCACTATGAGTACGGAGCGAATCGAAACATGGTCCGCATATAACAGGGTCTTTGGTAGCACCGATGTTCTGCAATAAAAAAAAAATGTGAAAGTTAATTTCAGGAGGAATATCTATTTATTTATGTCAAAATAAAAATTTTAAATACATAAGGTTATTTATTATCTGGTCTGTTTCAGTTTTTCCTCTTTATTTGGATATTTTGCCATCATTAAAAGTCATTAAATAAGACCTATACACCAAAAGGATCAATCACTGTTTATTTTTATTAAAACTAATTTTATATAACTTAAAATCTCACACTGAAAGAATCAGACAAATAAAAAGTATTGAATCACTATTGTTATATATAGTCTTTCTGAAGTCATTTGAACATGTATAAAAACGCTTAGCAATAAAATTTAATGAGTTTCATAGGCGTCCCTAAAAAGTTTTCTACTAAAGGTAAAAACTAATAATTTGTATATAATATGTAGAAAAGTTCTACTATATGTTCATTTGGCCAACAACATATTTTAATTATTTAGGTCCTCAATTTTCTTTATATAAATTATAAATTGTCCGCTGAATTACGTCTCTCGTCATGTCAACGATATTTACAAATTTTTGTTTTCGCTTCCTCTTTACGCAATGATCTATAACACCCTGTTTAATAACACAAAAAATTGTGGACATCGAAATTTAGTTAATACGTATTCACATATTCTATTTATAATTTCATTATCTGGTTTTTCATTTTCTTCTTTTTTTAAACAATTGTTAAATATTTAAAATGAGACGCTGACATTGAACATGTAAATCTTTATTTTTAAATTCTAAATCTGTGTCATCAACAACCGGTTCTACTAATTCAATATTGTCTGACGGTATTTCGTTTTGTTCCGTTTCAAAAGGTCTCCAAAATGCCATGTTGTAATAATATTAGTAAACAAAATATCCGTCTTATTTCTCCCTTTCACAATTGTAACATGAATGATTAATAGAATAAAATTACCTGAATCACACCAAATTCCGCATTACTGCACTGCACTGCTAGGCAATTTGTCGACAACTGAAATTTATGGCTGATCGCCCAGTCCAGCTGTGTTTATTTACCGTTTAACCGCGCGCATTCTTCAACTAGGCGACCAGACCTGTATATGGGTATGGTTAAATAAATATGGGAACAAATATTTCAATGCCGAGTTGTTGCATAGCGATAAATGGGGGCAAAGTTGCGTAATCAAGAGGCCAACATTATACATCTAAAAAATCAAGGCTAACATTAGTTTATAAATTTTTGAAAAAATCCGAAATTTTGGAAATTCGTTTTTGTTTCATTTCAGCCTTGTTTGAGGTGATATTGAAAAAAGAAAAGTACTTTCTCATGGCAACTTTTTGCCTTCTATCGAATGGCATAATCAATTTTTATATGTAGCGTTTCCTCTCTCCAGGACCATCATCAACTTCATTTATTTAAATAAGACCTTGGTAATTTTATTGCATTTTTTGCATGCTTTCATGACCACCAATACTATAGTGCCTCAGTCCAAACCAGATTCAGAAGTTTTGTCTTGAAAAATTCATCTTCAATGTATTCAATATGTTGATTTCACATGATCTAACCACACTTAGAGTGTACGTTAATTCAATAAACATAGAAATCTAAAAAAAATTAGATAAATTTGGAGCAAATACATTGAAGATTAATTTTTCGAGACAAAACGTCTGAATCTGGTTCGGGCTGGAGCAGTACAGTATTGGGGGTCATGAAAGCTTGCAAAAAATGTAATAAAATTACCAGGGTCGTATTTAAAAAAATTAAGTTGATGATGGTCCTGAAGAGACAAAACATTATATATAAAAATTGATTATACCATTTGATAAAGGGCAAAAAGATGCCATGAGAAAGTGTTCTTTTTTCAATATCACCTTAAGCAAGGCTGTAATGAAAAAAAAAATGGATTTCCAAAATTTCGTTTTTTTTTTCAAATATTTCGAAAACTAATCATGTTAGCCTTGATTTTTTAGAGGCATAATATTGGTCCCCTGATACTTTGCCTCCATTTAAGCTACTTCGTATTTCTTACCGTTTCCGAGATCTCTGTAGTGAAAAGCAAATTTGTAACAGCCTGTATAAAATTAGCATGCCACTTTCAGCAGACTGTAAAAAAAACAAAATTAGAGATGTTGTGACTTTTTTGTTGCTACTTCGATACAGTAAAATGAATTTTGTACCTTAAACGGTTTTTGAAAATATGACAAGGTGCTGACTTAAATGTTAAGTTGACAGTGTAGGCAATTTCTCAGTACCTAATTAGAGAATATGTTACTTTAAGGGAGAACGTGAAATAAATGTAATTGCACTAAAAAATTGTTTAAGTGCAAACAAAAATTTCCTTTTCGGGCAAAAGTACATACATGAGATATGTTATCAATGCAATGTATTTTCCCCTTATTTTATTTTAAATGTGGCAAAATACCCAAGTCCGAAGCACTTAGAAATATACTTACTACTTGTGGTATATACGTTTCAATTATATCATCATCCACTTCATTTAGTGACACAAATCCGTTTGTTACCAGCTGAATACATAACCGACAGATTCTTTGATTTTTTGATATACCATTTAACTTAGTATTTCCTTTCTCCTTTAGATAAACTTCTTTTAAGTCAACCACTGACACACTACTGGCATTAACATAAGGAAACATAATATCCTCAGTACCCATACAGGCCGTTTTGAAGTTAAAAGCGGTGAATAATTTTACAAAGCATTCTTTACACATTACATGTTTATCGCTCCCCTCCTCCAATTTCTAAAATAGTTACGTAATCAAAGTTATTAAAATGAATATATAAGCGTGAAAGGAAAGTTAATAATTGAATCTTACCAAATTTGGCAAAATAATCTGGAGAGCCTCCCTTGCAGCCTTTCCTATTACTTGCCAACTTGTGTCGCCTATAGTATTTAGACACAGCCTGCAAAATACCGTTTTCATGAATTCTGGTTGCATTATTCTCTTCTATAATGAGATATTTTAATGTTCTAAACAAATGTCTTCATAAACAATTAACCATTCAAAGATCTCCAGAGACCTCTTGTTCGATTTTGATTTGACAAAAATACTACTACACTTTTATTTCTGACGCACCAATTTCTAGTGTTTTGAAACCTCAGAATATTTGAGGTTATGTTGTATTTGTTAGCAGAAATCGTAATTCTGTGAATAGAAAATTAGCGAAGGCAGATTATTCCTTAATAAGTATTATTATTTTCGCTTCTTCAACGCAATATACCTTCGGCAACACACCAGAGACGATATCATGTAAGTCATCCCAAAATAACAATAACAATATCCTCTTTCTAATCTGAGAATAACAAATACTTTAGCATTGAAAAAGGATCATTAGAGACTATATCCTTTTTGTATGTAATGTAGGTTAGAGTCGTTAGAGATGTAGAGAATAGAGATGGGCGGAACAACGGAACATGACTAATACGACTCAGTGGTCCGGCTCTTCCTACTGAGCCAAGTGAATCGTGCACTCATACAGTGCAGATATCTGGTGTATTTGTCTCTTTCGCTACTTTTTCAAGCGATAAATAACTAGTGAAATCACATTTTCAATCAAATAAACAGAAAAATATTAATTCCATTAAACAATCTATTTCATATATCTGCTAAATAAATTTTATTAAATGAGCTAAGCAGTACGTGCAACGGGCTGCTACACGCCATTATTCCATGGCTAGAAATTGGCCTCAATGATTTGGGATCGAGGGGGATTATCCCTCTTTATCCTGCCTCATCTCGTGTAGGCCTGGACAGCCTTCGTAGGTGGGCCCGATCCGTCGTCTACCCCGACCGCAAATGCGGCCGGTGTAGGCGCTTTGTGGGACCTCCTTTTGTCCTGGCTGGACCCCGCTCGCTAGGGCCCTTTCTTCTGGCGCTCTTCTTGCTTCGCCGGCTCGTCTGTGTAAACCCCCGGGGGTGGTGTCATGTTTATGTGTGGTATGGTTGGGTAGGGTAGTGCGGCTATGCAGCCTGGGATGCGCTTTGCTAAGGTGGCTCTTTGGCTAGCGCGGGCGGAGAGGGGAAAGGAGGGTATGGGTGTGTGTGTCGTTGTCTTCGTTTCTTGATCCTGACTGTCTCTGAAACAGAAAAGGTTAGCGGGCAGCGGGGGGATGTCGTTGGGGTGGTCACCCAGGGTCAAAAAATTGGTGTCTAGGTCTTTTGTGTTTGTAATAATAATATCTCTACTCCTCATTCTAACTACGAGAATTAGCCCATAAGTCGGAGACTTGTGCGGGAGAGGAGGCGGCATATTATTATTAGGCAGGCCGCATTTGCGCCCAGGTACGACTTATGTTGGTAGGCCCTAACCACCATTCAGTGCAGGAATGAGGGAAATCTGGAAAACCTCATTAATTAGGGGGGTGGTCAAATGCCAACCGGTGTGAATCTCTCACATTGGCCCAAGCCAACATTCTTCCACCCTACCATACCTGCACAGAGGGTGCCAATCCTCCGTACAAGCATAGCTAATATACGGTCTACCGGCCGCGGGAATCGAACCCGGGCAGAAATTATCACACGATTAAAGGACTGACGCCTTAAACCGTGCTGCTATCGACCGACAATAAATAAAGAAAATAATAAATAAGAAGAAATTGTCTGTATTTATTTGTGGCATTATAAATGTTTGTTATAATTTGGATATTTTGCCATAGTTTGAAGAAAAAAAACTGGAAAAATAAACCCTTGTACCGATAGGGACAGTCAAGTGTCAATACTGAAAACTTTTGCCTAATAGTGAGATGCCAGAGACATACATCTACATGCATAATGGTTACGCACTGGAAAAACAAATACACATCACAAGAACACAATGACGTTTCTGAAACCTCTAGTTTTGATATCAAAGCAGAAGTGAATTAGAAAAGTACTGAATATTAGTTTTTCGCTACATTTTCTGTTTAACTAAATAATCTGTTCTCAAAAGTATTGACACTTTACTATTCCTATTTGTAAAGTATAAAGTGTTGCCTACTCATTAGGAGCTAAGTAGTAGTAAGCTTCCAAAACGTTACCTGGCGCTGTTTCGCGGTTTATTTGGCAATTTGCGAATGCAGCTAAGAGCTCGCCCTCTGGCGGTGACAAGTGATACTAGCGAAACAAGGTAAATATTTCTTCTGTGCTGTGTGTGACATTTTGTTTTGTATTTTATTTAAAACTGTATTTAGTGTTCCTTTTTTGAACACTATTATTTTAAGAAAATAGTGTGAGGAAAATTTCATCAATTATGGATAGAAAGAAGAAACTGTCAAACTATTACTGTTCAACTCAAGGTTGCTCTTCATGGTCCAAGAAAAATCCAGAATTAAGTTTTCATCAAACCAATGAAGAAATTTTCAAAATATTATTGCCGATAGATAATACTCCCTGAATTTCATGAGGATTGTTAGTAAGTAAGGGCACTAGTCTGCAGACATAATATAAATTTCTAAATTTAAATTAACTTTGCTCAATTTTCCCATATAATACCACATGGTCAGCCTTAAAAACTGCCTCTCCTTCTAATATACAACGAGAGTTTTCGTTAGCATATATGTAAATAGGAAATGTATTCCACAACGGATAAGTTCATAGTTATAACTTAATAAAATGTACATTACATTGTAATGCTAGAGACAAATAAAGTAGATATAAATACTTGCCTTAAAATTTATTTATGAAATATTTGAAACCTATAAAATAATACAAAAGTGAAATACCCGTAGTTTGATAACAAAATTACTAATAATAATGGCAAATAAGACAAATGTTGTTGAAATGAATGTGTTAACGACGCGAACGGCAATGTCAAAATTACCTTGTTTCGGAGCTTACTGCTTTCGCCGCTTGGTGCGCTTGCATCTTAAAAATTATCGCGGATATTAGGGACATTTAACTCTACATTAGTACTCTATTATATATTTTGTGGTTAGTACCAATCAGTGTTACCAGATCTCCTGTTTTAACAGGAGATCTCCTGTTTTCACTCTCACTCTCCTGTTCTACTGTTTTCACTATGAGATCTCCTGTTTTTAATTTCAATGTATATTCTTCTGGTTTCTCTATGAAATCTTCTGTTGATTATACTAATTTTCCCCAGAATTTTTAGTACGACACTGTTCTCTAACGGCACTGTGTTCGTCACTTGTCAATATTTTCAGTTCTGTTATATTTTCTGTAGCCCAGTTCATGTACATATTTAAATTTAAATCCGCAATTCACGTTTATATGAACTAGGCCTAACAGAATAGAAGGCGAGTTCAACGTTCGTTTACTTCAGCGGGATTCCGGGATTTATCATTTTGACAACTGACTGTTGTCAAATCACGTGACGTATTGATGTAATTGAAAACTATTATACGAACTCCTACATTTACCTATATTTTGCTATATTTTGTGCATGTACTTATGTTCCTCTATTAAAAAATATATTTATTAAAATCTCCTGTTGAAAAAAGAAATCTCCTGTTTTTTTGGCTACATTCCTACTGTTGACAGAAATTTCCATCTGGCAACACTGGTACCAATTATCTATGGTTAGTACTATATTTTCTATGGAAGCATCTTCATCTTCATAAATTAATAATTAATTGATCAATAAATTGTCAATGTAAACAGCTATAATTATCAGAAAAGTAATAAATATGCAACAAATAATCTTGGAAGAAACATTTTGTACGCTGTGTCTAAATACTGTAAGGGATTCAAATTGCCAGATAATGGATGTAATAAGGGATGTTCTAAAAATTGTTTTGCCGGATTTGGTAAGATAAAGTTTTCACTTTTATATTTAGTGTAGTTCATTTATAATAAAGTACAAATCCGTTTCAGAGCTTAGAAGAAACAGTTAAACATTTCATGTGTACAGTATGTTCGGGAAAATTGTTTGCTGCTTTTAATTTTAAGGCAATATGTACGGATACCGAGGATATTATTTTTCCTTACATTAATGCAAGTAGAACCTCAACGGTTGATTTAAAAGAAATTTATCTGAAAGAAAATGGAAGCATTCAGTTAATCAATATATTGGAAGATCAGAGAATTTGTCGGTTATGTTTTCACTTAGTTGCAGACGAATTTGTGGCACTAAAAGAAGTGGATGTTGGCATAATCGATATGTATATACCACAAGTTGTAAGTAGTTATATTACGTTAGATTTTTCTGTTTTGTAATCAATAATTTCCAATTTACACAAGAACTGTTAACTTCGGGTATAGGGAACTATAGTATCATTATAAAGTAAATTTAATTCTGCATCCATTAATATAGTAATATACAGGGTGTACCATTTGGAATTTTTGAGTAAATTCAACTATCTTATTCCGTTCATTTGTATGCTCGTCAACAAACTCTTTATCATTTTTTCTCGCAATTTTATCATCATCTAGTTGTTTCTGACTTAAAGTTGGGCAAGTCACCGCAGCATGCATAAAATATTATGTTGCTTTTAGTGGCTCGAAGCGAATACTGCATTTTTGAAATAAAATATTACCTTATGCATAAAAGTATTAATATATTTGAAAAGAATTAATAGATAGATTAACATTTTTTTACATTATTTCACCAAAACGTACTTTTCAGTCAATCAATCGATTAATCAAAAGTATTAAATGAAGTTTCTCGTACTTTTGTACAGGTATTGATGGATAAATGTTTTTTAAAAAAGTAAACATTAGTTAATTGCTTAATCCTATTTCAAGATTACATATTGGTGAGATAATTCTAGAAAAAAAATATTTTTAAACTAACTATTAATAGAGCATTTTATATTTTTTTCTGGGTATGTATCATAATGACCTTATCGAATGACAGTTCAATACGTCAAAACAAACAAAAATAAATAGTATACGAAAATGCTCGGCATTGTTATTGTCATTAGAATACAAGCTATAGAGTATTGTAGCTTGCATTGTCAAAAATAAAAATAATGCGAAGTTTTCCCCATCCTAGTAGCATGCTTTAGTGTGCTTCAATTGTGCATATATGATATAGCATTTAAACGATGGTCAGTTTTCTCGAAATGTTAACATAGTACAATTCTGTTTTACAATGCTACCTTTTCCATATGCAAAACCTAACTTAAAAAACTATTTATATTATTTATGTTAGCGAGTTATTTCTATGAAGTTATATTTGCAAAAAATACCTATAAGGTCATTATTAATATATTTTGCTTCAAAAATCATGAGCGTTTTGATCGACGATGTAACATCAAAATAATTAAACATCCATTTATTAGTTCATAATCTGTATTATTGTTAACATTTATTTTTGCTGATTTAAATATATACTTCTTATAAGTTTAAAAACTTGAAATATTCAATAAGACAGTGACACATTCTGTTCACTTCACAGATTAATAAATCTCATTTCTTAGTAATTCTTATTGATTGTATTTGGTGATTTATATAATTGGCAAAAAAAGTACTCTTGTAATCATATTTATTTATTTACATAATAAAAAAAACATTACATAGTAATGGCTGGTAGACCACTGCTTATCCATTGTTGCGCGTGCAATCAAGGATTTCAAGCCAGACAATTAGTACTTATTAATGGAGATGAAAACATAATTAAACGTCAAATAGCTGTCACTAGACGTGATCAATTACTTCATCCACCTTGTAACGGTTCAATTAAATTTATTGAGGATTTTAATTAAAACTTAAGGACGGCTGGTATATATTCTGTTTAATAATGTTTATGGACCTATGGCATAGGCAACATTTATTACCTTTCTTTTCTGGCTACAAATCTAAGCCGTTTAATATATGAGACTCGCAAAAAAGGTAACGACAGTTTTTGGAATGGGGAGATAGGTTTTTATGTTTTCGAATGGGCTATCGCTAAGGTGCGGCTGTGGAAAATTTTCTGCTATTTCTTAATGCTTATGTTACCCAAAAAGGGGATTTTGTGTCAGGAAATTGGGTGAAAATTGTGTTCCTTTGATGCATTTTGGATAGTACCTATCTTGGACCTTCTGGTGGAATACAATTGCATCATTGGCTGGATCTTAGTGCACCTTGGCGATTGCAAAATCAGCGTTTCTTTTGAGGTTAGAAAATGAACCATCAATTCTGACCGCTAATTCACATTCGGCGGGGTTTTAACTATATATGAACATTTGAATATAGTAAAAAAAAATGTTCTAGTTTTCCTAGCACTTTTTCGTGAATTTTTGCTGTTTTTGACCTGTTTTTTGAAGTTAGGAAATTCCCGAGATGTGATAGCTCAATTCTGACACCCGATTCGTGATTAGGAGGCAAAAATACTACTGATAACATATGTCGCATGAAAAGTACAGACTACTTTTTTTGTGTGTGGCTGTGTTATTATTTTGAAAAAAGTTTATACTCAGTTTGAAGAGATTATTTCACCGATATCGGTGCCATTTTGCAGTCACCATTTTTTAAATTTAAAGAGAGTATACCGCATATGCTGATGCGTTACACAAGGAATACTTTTGGTGAGACTATGGAATCGATCAATTGGCGTTTTCAGCAGATTTTGACCTTAAACGTGTTAAATCACTGGTATAGGCGCCATTTTGAAAACTTGTAAAGCGCACATAATATTGGGTAGTGCACTTGCATACGAACGTTTCTAGTTAGATAGCATGAGCTTAGCCGCAATTAAATGGCGTTATTAGCAGATCTTGACCCAAAATCGAGCTATTTCGCTGATATAAGCGCCATTTTGAGGTCGCCAGTTTAAAATTTGTGCAAGGAGCATGTAACATTTGGTAGAGCACTTCCGTATCAACGTTTTCTGTTGAATAACACTAGCGCATATACCGTCTAATGTGGATTGCAACAGGTTTAAGCCAAAAATGTTGGTATTTCGATGATATCGGCGCCATTTTGAAGTTGCCATTTTGAAAATTCAGAGGACACGCTTGGAATTTGGTAACTCTCTACCAAACAAACATTTTTTGTTGCATAGCTAAATTTTCGTCATCATCGCTCCTTTTTCAATAGCACTTCCTTCAGTAGGTCGCTAAAATTCGTGGATAGTAGCCGCCATATTGCAACCGCCATCTTGAAAATTAAAAAGCGCCACACGGCTTTCGAAAGCGCTCATCTCAACGANGATATTACTTACTTCTTCTGCAGTTTCAGAATTCTTTTCGTAATCTCCAAATGCATTGAAAGGATCTGCCTGCCCAGTTGAAAATGATCCTTCAAATGGATCAGATGCAAATTCATCCTAGTAATATTAAAAAATAATCAAAAACACAATTATGAAATATAATTGACAAATAAAGCTAAGTAGACTCAAATAAAATAAAATAATATCAAATATTGGTTTGCTATGATATTTCTCACGGAATTTTATCTGCAATGGTTATTAACCCAGATCCTTATATGGTACGAAAAGATTGCAAAAATAATTTTTAATATTGCATGTAACAACTATATTTGCATTTTACAGGAGTATAATTGCTATTTGTCAGTTAATATCAATGTAATAACGGGGGGTACGTTAATACAGTGGCGGGTGGGCAGGGTGGTTTGTGCCCACCCTGATAATTTCAGAAAAATAAAAGAAAAATGTGTATACATATACCAAAGTAATTTGACCTAATTCTTACAAAATTAAATCTAAACTGCACTACCTCTTTTAAAATTCCCGCTACCAAATTTTAAAATTATAATTTAATCATGATCTCAGCAGCAACCAACATTACATTCGGGCTGGCCCATAGCCGCTCAACTAAACGACGCCGTCCCTTGCCTGCTTATACGTACCTATGACCTAAGAAGATATACAAATAAGAGATTTCACTTAATACTAATTTCTATCATTACTATCTTGATATAATTTCATGTTCCAAGTTTCATTTTTTGCTTGGTATTTTCATGTGCCCGACGCACGCGTAGTGGTTCAAAATTCATTCATTAAAACAAGACCACGTTATATCATCTTTAATACAGACCAGGCCTTGCCCGTTTTAAAATTGTTCATAAAATCCAAATTAATAGAACATGCTTACTTATTAATGTTATTATGCAGATAAAAGATCCTAAAAGTTGTCCATTAGGATTTTAGGATAGCAAAACACATTTTAAATGCTGTTTTAATCAAAAAGTTAATGAAAAAGAAATTCAGTTATAAACTTAACAAGGTATCATCTAATGAAATCTTTAAAAAATCGAAGTTTAATTGTTATCAATAGTTTAAGAGCCTTTTCACACTATCCGGTTTCGCCTGTCAATTTTCGCACATTTAGATCTGAAGACAATCCAAAAGACAATAAAAGCATCAGGTTTGATGCTACACACATATAACTGTTCCTAATAAATTGAAATATTAGTACACATGCAATCATAGACCGAGAAAATGTTATCGCTTTGTGGTATCTTTATCGAAAAAATAAAAAACGATATCATAGAAGGTTACATCCCTTGACGCAGACAAAATGAATTTAAAGCTCTTGCATACCATAGGGTTTTGCCTGTCAGGTCCCTGATTGGACAGATAGATGAGCAGCGGAATGTTGGTGTAAATGTGGCCTTTCACACTATCTGGCACCGTTATTACAGCTGAATGTATTCTACTAGGCCATCCCGTGCCCTGACACCGGATCAGATGATAGTAGGGGTCTTTGTTCACACTATCAAGTTCCATTTATTAGGTTCGTAGTACTTCTCCATGTAGTTCAGTATTCTTTAAGCTGTTGAGGTGAATAGTATACATATTTTATTGAAACAATGCTAATAATTAACAAATTGAGACAGAACCGAAATATTCTAACACTTATACGATAAGTACTAATGCTTTTTAAATGTGTTCTGGCGTTGCATTCTGGCTGCAGCTTGGTTAAAAAATTTGCTTTCATCAGTGAGATTCTCATATAACACATATGCGTCTAACTCATTCCGTCTCTGCACCAGGGGATGTATCCAAAACCTCCTTCTACAATTTTGAGTTTTACCTTTTCGGTAAAAATTACCACAATGCGATAGCACTTTTTTTTGGTCCATGGTTGTACTTGTAGGTACTGATATTTCAATTCATTAGGAGCAAATATACATATAGCATCATACCTGACGACAAACCTGAAGAGATTCTTTTATCATCTTCAGGTTTTCATCAGGTCCAAAACCTGACAGACAAAACCGGATAGTGTGAA